CCTAGGCGTGGTCATCCTGTGAAAATGACTGCAAGAGCACAGCGCAGAATGCTGCATGAGGTAAAGAAGAATCCCAGAGTGTCAGCTAAAGACCTACAGAAATCTCTGGCACATGCTAACATTTTTGTTGACACATCTACAATAAGGAAAACATTTAACAAGAATGGAGTACATGGGGGGACACCACGGAGGAAGCCATTGCTGTCCAAAAAGAGTATTGCAGCACATTTGAAGTTTGCAAAAGAGCACCTGGATGTTCCACAGCACTACTGGCAAACTATACTGTGGACAGATGAAACCAAGATTGAGTTGTTTGGGAAGAACACACAACACTGTGTGGAGAAAAAAAGGCACAGCACACCAACATCAAAACCTCATCCCCACTGTAAAACATGGCGGAGGGAGCATCATGGTTTGGGGCTGCTTTGCTGCCTCAGGGCCTGGACGGATTGTTGTCATTGGTGGGAAAATGAATTCCAGAGTTTATCAAGACATTTTGCAGGAAAATGTACGACCAGCTGTCCGCCAACTGAAGCTCCACAGAGGATGGGTGATGCAACAGGACAATGACCCAAAGCATACAAGTAATTCAACAAAACAATGGCTGCAACAGCACAGAATACGCCTTCTGGAGTGGCCCAGTCAGAGTCCTGACCTCAACCCGATTGAAATGCTGTGGCATGACCTTAAGAGAGCGATTCACACCAGACATCCCAAGAATATTGCTACACTGAAACAGTTTTGTGAAGAGGAGTGGTCCAAAATGACTCCAGATCGTTGTGCAGGTCTGATCTGCAACTACAGGAAATGTTTGGTTGAGGTTATTGCTGCCAAAGGAGGGTAAACCAGTTATTAAGTCCAAAGGTTCACATACTTTTTCCTCCCTGCACTGTGAATGTTTACATGTTATGTGCAATTAAACCATGGCAACATCTAATGTTTGTGTAGTATTATGTTCAGCAGACTGTGTTCTTCTATTGTTGTGACTTAGATGACGTTCAGAGCACAATTTATGCCCAATTCATGCAAAACTCCACGTAATCCCAAGAGGTTCACATACTTGTTCTTGCAACTGTAGTGCACTCCCAACGCTGCAATACACAATAGGTAAAAAATATGGTTTTTTTCCCAGCTGTGGAAAAAAACAAAAGAACTTCACCCACCTCCTCTACCACCTTTAGCCATTTTTTTTTTTCTTTTTTTTGTTGGGGGGGGGGGGGGCAGGTACCTTGTTTTCACAGGCAAGCAGTCACTTCTGGCTGCCCACAGGCAACATGCTGATACTGGGGGGTCACAGCCAGCTATCCACAGTTAACATGCTGGCCCCCGGGACCTGAAGACCGGTGAAAAACCAGCTCACGTGAGGGAAGCACTGGATAGTTTGACAGGAAAGTGATCTCGTATTAAAAGTCAGCAGCTACAGTATTTGTAACTGATTATTTTACATTTTTTTGTTGCTAGGGTAAAGAACCACTTTAAGACATTACAGAGAAGCATACAAGACGCACACAATTATTTGCACAATCACTACAATATGAACGAGCCCTTAAAACCCCTTCCTGGGATAAAATTTGTAGTTACCATCCCTCCCTCCTACCGACTCTATGCTACTATGCATTTTTTTTCCTCCTCACCTTGTGAAGCCAGATATACTCACCTAAAACTAGCCATAGACAGGTATTTTTTTTCCCTTCTGCCAGCAGATTGAAGGAAAAACAATAGTAACCCCCCCAACCCCCCTTCCCAGAACATTGTATTCTGACAGCAGGACCAGCAACGGTCAGAATGCACTGCTCGGTGCCTGCAGTCACTGATCAGTAAGTTTTTCCACCATGTCAGTGCCTGGGACAGCCACTCACTGATAGCAATTTGACCAGTTTAAGATGATCACAGAGTGGGGCTTTAATCTCCCATATATGTTGGGGGAATGTATGTACAGTATATGACCATTCCAAGCCATGCAAAGGACACCAAACGGAGCTTGATTTTCTTTCATTCAGCTCACCAACAGGGTGGATAGAGGAATCTCCATTCAGGACTATTATAGTCAGACAGTCGCAGCACCTGCAGCAGCCTGAAAACCTGAACAGTGATTGCATCTGATAGAATGCAGTCACTGTTCAGCAGATAATTGTGGGGGTACAGGGCCACCCAAGCCTGGAATTTTGGAAAATTCACCAGGATTCAGCCACAGTATGAGCAGTCTATGTGACCTCAAGTCAGTCACCAGCTCCTTAAACACAAATGGTCCCCATTATATGACTATACCGGTTTAACCTGGCAGGAGATGGATGAGGAAGGTATGCTTCTGGTGCCGCCCACCCAAGGAACCATTAGCAGTGAGTGAAGAGTACAGCTGTGCTATCATGAGCGTTTTCATACAGCATGGAAAGGACAGTGATCAGTGTAAAGCACACATTATTCGTCAAGTTTCAATAACCCCAAAAACAAAATTTAACATATTGCAGCTTACAGAGACTTTCACTCCACCACCAGCCGCACATGCGCAGCTCAGAGCACATTTGCAACCCACTCTATGTGTTGCGGCGATGTGACTCCCATGCACACAAACGGGAGTGACGTCAGTGCAGCCCCGCTATTCAAGTGGCCGAAGATACAAAAAAACCCAGAAAAAACATTGGGCAAAGATGGAAGTGCCGGGGAGCCATGACATTGCTGATTTGGAAGGCTCTGTTTGCAGGTAAGTCTGTTATAATATGCTACTATACGGTGCCTGAGGGGACAGAGGAGTTTACTACCACTTAAATCATCTCTATTCTATCTTTGCAGTAGCCTGTATATTATATTGGTCTAGCTTGTGCCAATCTAACATATATACACCATACCTGTGCGATCCCTACAGAAGCTGGAAATCACTGAAGTAGGCACCAATGCTGGATATCACTGTAGCACCAATGTTACAGTGATCTCCAATTGTTTCCATGTCTTGTACTGAGTGGCCACTCAGTAAGGGTGGCATTCAGAGAATGCTTTGCATGTTCTCAAAAAATACAAAGCATTCTGCCTCACCTCATCCAATCAGAGGACAGTATGCATTAATTGAGAGAATGAAAAAAGTGATGTCTGAATAGTGCCCACACCAAGCAGATGACCTCCTGTGTTCACAATGCAGCCATCTGGCACAGGACCTAAAAGCTAGTAGAGATCACTGGAGTAGTGGTGCCTAGTACAGTGACGTCCAGCTTATAGATCAGAGGTCTCCAAACTTTGTAAACATATGGCCAGACTGCAGTCATTGGGAGCAGAAATTGTCACGGCATCAGTGGGAGTAAAAAACTCATCTTTGGTATTACGGGGAGGAAAAGTGCCCTTTTATTGGTGTCAGTGGGAATAGTGCCCAATTGTGTCAGCGGGAGGAATAGCGCCCCGTTGCCGGTGTCAGCGGGAGGAATAGCGCCCCGTTGCCGGTGTCAGCGGGAGGAATAGCGCCCCGTTGCCGGTGTCAGCGGGAGGAATAGCGCCCCGTTGCCGGTGTCAGCGGGAGGAATAGCGCCCCGTTGCCGGTGTCAGCGGGAGGAATAGCGCCCCGTTGCCGGTGTCAGCGGGAGGAATAGCGCCCCGTTGCCGGTGTCAGCGGGAGGAATAGCGCCCCGTTGCCGGTGTCAGCGGGAGGAATAGCGCCCCGTTGCCGGTGTCAGCGGGAGGAATAGCGCCCCGTTGCCGGTGTCAGCGGGAGGAATAGCGCCCCGTTGCCGGTGTCAGCGGGAGGAATAGCGCCCCGTTGCCGGTGTCAGCGGGAGGAATAGCGCGCCCCGTTGCCGGTGTCAGCGGGAGGAATAGTGCCCCGTTGCCGGTGTCAGTGGGAGAAATAGTGCCCCGCTGCCGGTGTCAGCGGGAGGAATAGCGCCCCGTTGCCGGTGTCAGCGGGAGGAATAGTGCCCCGTTGCCGGTGTCAGTGGGAGGAATAGTGCCCCGCTGCCGGTGTCAGTAGCAGTAATTATGCCCCATTGCTGGTGGGAGGAAAGGAATAGTGTCTTGTATCAGTGGGAGGAAAAGTGTCCGGGTAGCAGTTTGGAGACCACTGTTCTAGATGGATCATACAGGGAAGGTATATGCAGAGTTACATTAACCACTTGCCTACCAGGCACTTATACCCCCTTCCTTACCAGGCCAATTTTCAGCTTTCAGCGCTGCCGCACTTTGAGTGACAATTGCGCGGTCATACAACATTGTACCCATATGAAATTTTGATCATTTTTTTCTCACAAATAGAGCTTTCTTTTGGTGATATTTAATCGCCACTGGGCGCTTTACTTTTTGCGCTATATAAATTAAAAATGTGCAAAAAATTTGAAAAAAAAAAAAAAAGTTTATTTGTTTCTTTTATAAAATTTTTCAAACAGGTATTTTTTCTCCTTCACTGATTTGCGTTGATGAGGCAGCACTAAAGGGCACTGATAGGCAGTACTAATGAGGTGGCACGGATAGGCGGCACTGATAGACAGCACTAATTAGGGGTCACGGATAGGCGGCACTGATAGGTGACACTGATGATGGGTACTGATAGACGGCACTGACTGGCATCACTTCTGGGCACTGACTGGCACAACCCCTGGGCACTGACTGGTGGCACTGACTGGCAGCACTGCTGGGCTGCACTGGTGGGTGGGCACAGGTGGGTGGGCACAGGTGGGCACAGGTGGGTGGCACTGCAGAGTGGCACAGGTGGGTGCACTGCTGGGCACAGGTGGGGGCACTGCTGGGCACAGGTGGGCGGGGCTAGTGGGCGCACTGCTGGGCGGAACTTGCGGGTGTCACTGCTGGGCACCGATCATCAGGGCACTGATCATCAGTGCCCTGATGATCGGTGCCGATCCCCGCTCTGACAACTGCCAGTTCTCGGCAGTACTTTCCTCACGATCTGACAGCGTGAGGAAAGTGCAGCCGAGAACCGGCACTTGCATTTCCCTGTGATCAGCGTGTCATTGGACACTGCTGATCACGTGGTAAAAGGCCGGTGGGATCGGCCTTTCACCACATCACGTGATCAGCTGTGTCCGTAGGACACAGCGATCACGGAGATCGCCGGGTGCGCGCCCCCTGGGGAGAGCGCGTTCTGGGAGGACGTCATATGACGTCCACTCAGAACTGGCCGGCCGCGGTGAAGCCGTCATTCGGCTATGCACGGTCGGCAAGAGGTTAATACAAGTTGGACCAACGTAACTATATAAACATATCTGTACCTGGAATTGTTCTTTAACCCCTTCACCTCCCTTATACTTTAACATACAGATGTGTAGGATATCTATGGTCACACAGCATACACTTTCATTTTATAACATCAGCATTGCAATAATACAAACAAGTTATTTTTGACAATCCAGTATCTGCCTACTCATTTCATCTTGTAAGTTCTGCTTGTCTGCTGGCCATCTCTTTCCTCACTTCCTGAATTCCCTGCATGCTTTGCAGCTTCTCCTTTGCTGTTTATTTTCAATTTCTAAGGACTACATATCCCATAGTACCTGGTTGCCTATAAGCAGAAATTCCTGCACTGCTTCCTGAAACTCCTCCACTCAGCACCTCTGTAGTTCAGAAGGCAAGCTCTGTGAAATGTGTGACACAGCAGTGCCTACTCACAGGGCACTGCAAGTACAGGGCTAAGAAGTCAAGGAAGTAAATGTGTGGGACTTCAAAACTTCAGTTTTGTTCAGAATAGGAGTAGGCTACAAATAATTTAAATACAATGTGAAAATGAATGTAGGATTTTACATTTTGACCATATATATTTTTTTTTTTCAGGAAACACAGAGGGTGAATGTGCATAACTGGTGCAAAACAGCAATAAAAACCTGACAGGTGTTCTAATCCCTCACCAATCTACTCAAAACTAAAAAAACATTTTGCCTTAAGTTATACTTTAATTCCCTTTGAAAAGTGGCTCGTGAGAGAGTGGTAAAGCAGCAGTTTTTTTTTTTTTGTTATTTTAATTGGCAAACAACATTTTTTCTACTGCAGGAAGTGTTTAGCTTAGAACCTCCTTATCAACCCCTGCAGCCCGAGTCAAAGCAGAACAAAAAGGTAATTTTTTTTTTTTCACATGGTTATAAAGACTCGTTTTTTTTTTTTTACCTTCATGCATTCTATGCATGAAGGTAAAAACCCTTCTGTGTGCAGCTCCCCATTAATACTTACCTGAGCCGTATCATGATCCAGCGATGTGCACGAGAAAATCGTCTCCCTCCTCATTGGCTGAAACAGCAGTAGGAGATATTAGTTCCCACTGCTCCAATCGTAGCCAGTGAGACAATGAGGGGAGAGAGGGGGTGGGCCAAGCTGCGGCTGTGTAGTTGACTGGACACACAAAGCAGCAGATCGGGAGCAAGCCTGCTTGGGTGCCCCTATAGCAAGCTTCCTGCCTGGGGGCATTCAGCAGGAGGGAGGGTACAGGGGCACCAACAAGGTACCAAGAAGAAGAGGACCGGGGCTGCTCTGTGCAAAACCATTACACAAAGCAGGTATGACATGTTTGTTATTAAACAAAAAAAACTTGCCAGCTTCCCGACCGCCCTATAGCAGAAATACTACTACAGGTTGGCTTGGTTGTGCAAAATCACGTATATACGCATGATTTTGCATTTCCTGGTGTGCGCACGCCATACCCGCATCATGTGTGTATATATACGTAATTTTGCATTTCCGGGTAGGGGGCGCAAGCGAGCTAACAGTTCTTCTCCCTGTAAGCTCAGGCACACTGCTTTGGATGGCTTTGGATACAGTGAAGCACACTGACACGGTAAAACACATCCAGCACACAGTTACCCTCCCTCTGATCGCCCTCATGTTAACCCCTTCCTGCCCAGTGCTATTAGTACAGAGTCAGAGCTTTTTTTTTTTTTTTTTTAACCGCCTCCCGCCCGCCATATAGTAATATAACGGACGAAAGGTGGTTCTCTCGTACTCGGAGGACATCATATGATGTCCTCCCATTCTAACCGTGCATGCGCAGCTCCCGGTGCGCTGTGTCCCTCAGACACAGCGGATCAGCGATCCACAGAAAGAGCCGAAGATGTCGGCTCGGTCATGTGATCAGCGGTTTCCAATCACAGCTGATCACATGTAAACAGGGAAATGCCGGTTATCGACATTTGTCTCCCCAACGGTGGAGTGCCCATCAGTGCCACATCAATGCCACATATCAGTGCCCATCTGAGCTGCATTTCAGTGTCACCCATCAGTGCCAGTCAGTGCAACCTATCAATGCTAGTCAGTGCCGCCTAACAGTGCCATATGAGTGCTGCCTTTCAGTGCCCATCAGTGATGCCCGTCAATGCCCATCAGTGCCACCTACCAGTGCCTCCTCATCAGTGCCCAGTGCCACCTATCAGTGCAGCCTATCAGTGCCCATCACTGCAGCCTCATTAGCGCACATCAGTGAAGGAGAAAAATCACTTATTCACAATATTTTATAACAAAAACTAAGAAGAAACTTTTTTTTTTTTTTTCAAAAAAGTGGTTTTTGGTTTGTTTAAGGAAAAATAAAAAACCCCCGAGGTGATTAACCTCCCTGGCGGTTTTCCCGAGTGTAGCTCGGGGTAGAATTTCTATACCAAGAACGGTAACCCCGAGCTACACTCGGGCTTACTATGCAGCGTTCTCTGGGGGTCCCTGCAGCACTTACCTTGTCCTTCGCTCCCCACGATGTGTCCCCTGCAGCGTCCCCGTCCATCTCCTCCGGCGGATGCCGGCATCTGACTTCCGTGTTCCGGTCCCCGTGACGTCGGAACGTTCGGGCGGCGGAACCGGCGGGAAATTTGAAATTTTTAAAAAAATGACATTTTTGCTGTCATTGCTTTTTCACTGCATTTCACATACATTTTGTCCCCACTGCTTTGTCCTGTGCCCTGCCTGCATTTTGACTGTTCTTTCTGCCTGGAAACTTAGAAAAGTCCATGGCGGCCAAAAAGCGTCCCTTTACGTCAAAAGCGGTTTTAGACAGCGATAGTAAATCAGAACCACTTGCAGAATTGAGTGATAATGATTTGTGGGGAAATTCGTCATCAGACACTGAAAACGATTTTGCGACTTTGCTCAGCGATGTGCGAATTTGCCTCTGTATTTCAAATTTCAGTGTTTTTGGTTTGATTATATTATTGAATTAAATTTTATTATTTATATTATTTTTTATGATTATTTATTAAATTATAAATTTATGATTTCGTGTTTCAAGTTTTATCATATCCGGAATGTTTAATAGACTCTTTTTCGGATAGATTTCAGTGAGTTATTCCTAAAAATTACAGCCTACAATTAAAAACTACATATTTTCATGCAAAAAATGGTAAAAAATGGTACCGCTTTCAGCACAAAATTCCTGACATGATCATACCGCCAGGGAGGTTAAATACCACCAAAATAAAGCTCTATCGGTTACAAAAAAAAAAAAAAGATAAAAATTTAATATGGGTACAGTGTTGCAATTGTCATACAAAGTGCAACAGGTCTGAAAGCTGGAAATTGGCCTGGGCAGGAAGGGGGTATAAGTGCCCTGTAGGCAAGTGGTTAAGAACTGATCACAGTATTGATGTCACTGGGGATGTCATTGGCACCAAGTCAGTCCCACCCCCAGTGTCAGAATGTCGCAGTTCCGCTATAAGTCGCTGATCGCCGCCATTACTAGTGAAAACAAAAAAAAAAATTCAGGTATCTACACCGCCATTTGTAAAAAAAAAAAAAAAAAAAAATTAAAAAAAAAAAAAAAAAGCACTGACTACCGTAGTGGTGTCACTGGGGATGTCAGTAACACAAAATCAGTACCCCCCCCCAGTGTCAGAATGTCCGCCGCAGTTCCACTATAAGTCACTGATCGCCGCCATTACTAGCAAAAATTTTTAAAAAAAAAAACTATTTTTTGAAATTCCAGTATATATACTGCCATTTATAAACACTATAACTTTCACGTAAACCAATTATTTTACACGTATTGGAATTTTTTTAGCAGACATGTAGAATACATTTTGGCCTAAATTTATGACAAAATTTTTTACATTTTTTTACTGGACATGTTTATTAGCAAAAAGTAAAAAAATAATGTTTTTTCTCAAAATTGTCGGTCTTTACATTTTTTTTTATAGCGCAAAAAATTAAAAAAAACGCACAGATCAAATACCACCGAAAAAAAGCTTAATTTGTGGAAAAAAGGACCTAAATTTAATTTGGGTACAGCGTTGCATTACCACGCAATTGTCAGCTAAAGTAACACTACATATGGCCTGGGCAGGAAGGGGGGTAAATCCCCTGGAGGGTAAGTGGTTAATATGACTTTAATTTTGGGGACACTAGTTCTGGTTACGCCCCCAGGATTCCCTCACTTTGGGGAAGGGGGACTTCCTCTCACTTCCTGTTTTGGGTATGGGACAGGAAGTGAAGGGAAATCTCCCCCATGAGACATGGATGGTGAAAAAAAAAAAAAAAAAATACCTGACAACTGGAGTTCTAATGCTCTTATTATATCCAAATGAAAAGAAATTGCCTTTAGGTTGGGTTCACACTGATGCGGTGCAGAACTCGCAGCGTTTTCTGTGCGAATTCTGCTCCGCATCATGCGAACTGCTGCAGGTATGTTAACAACACCCCAAAATTGGTCCGCAAAACATAGTGCGATGTGCAGAATTCAGATGCGGTCTGATTCTAGTGTGGACCCCAAAAAAGGGTCCTGCACCTTTTTGATGCAGTGCGATTGGAGCCATACATAATGTACGACTCCAATCGCACCGCACACATATCGCATGTGGTTTGCGCAGGAATTCATTGCAGTTCCTATGCGAATCACAAGCAATGTAACGAGCCGCATTAGTGTGATCCTAGCCTAAGTTTTAATATATAAATGTCTGTGGCATGCATACTATCAGTCTGTAATGTAGCATCCCAGGGGTGGCCAGGGGACTGTAAAAACATGGCTCAGCCACCCTTTTTTACTGCCCTCCCTGTGAAAGCGCCCTGTTATTATCAGTCAAGGTAGGACGTCCATCTAGGAAGGTGTGTATAGAGGAGGGGGAGGGGGCTCACCTCCAGGGTCTGTCCCACATAGGGCCACCGAAGCTCATCACTTGGCTGGGTTCTGCCTGACAACAAGGCCATGTACAGCGCTGAGGACTATGTTGGAGCCATATGAATAAAACATGACAGTGTGAAGTTACCTGGGGGAAGGCGGGGGTCTCTTAGGAATCACCTGCTGCCGGCTAGGGCCCCGCTGTGGCCCCTGAGGAAAGCGGAACAGAAGGCAGGACATGGTGACCATTATTAGGACCGGCCACCCATATGACGAAACGGCGCCCCCTACAGCCCGAGGACAGCACTCGCTCCTCAGTAATGTCATGTGAAGACTTTTTTCATCCACTTGCTGAGCCCGGGCAGTCCTGGAAATATCCAACTCCCGCCAAGTTTACGGCAACTCCGTCCGCCTCGGAGCTCAGCTACGCCCACAGTGTGAAAACTCCCCCGGACAGCCAGTCTATACAGCCCCGTCCGAAGAGAACCGGACTCCCGGAATATGGCGGAATAACTGTAGTGGCTCTCTCAGCCAATAGCAAAAAACTGTTCCAGACCGCCGACCAATCGCGCCGCCACGCAGCGGTTGTTCAAGCCAATCAGCGCCTCCTGCAAGAGAGTTGCCTCCAATAGGGCTGAGGGTATCAATTACCTGGTTGAGGATTACAGGGATTAACCAATGAGGGTCAAGGGGATTACACCTGCGGCCAATGGGAGGGCGGGCGAGGACGGGCGCGGTGCGGGTCAGTAACTGAGTAACCGGAGTTGTGTGTAGGGAGCTGTCAGTGTGAGGAATGTGGTTACATCACACGGCTGACACTCTCCTCATCACATCTTCCCGGAATTCATACACCGCCCGCATTCCTCACACACTCTCATGGGTCATTCATTCACCAGAAGCAGCCAACACCTCCCAACCCAACTATCATGGCCATCTCACATGGGAAGAGCCTTAAAGAGCACCTGTGCCTGGACCATAGACGTCACATTGTATTAACCACTTCAGTGCCAGCCTGCCTCTCCATCTCCAGGATATGTTTCAGCTGTCACTGATGTGTGTTTGACTGACAATTACTCAGTGCAGCACAATTGTATATCATTTTTTCAGACAGATACAGTTTATTTTTGGTGGTATTTAAAAGCGGAGCGCCAGTAAAAAACTGACAAAAAAAAAAAACAGCTACAAAAAGTGTAGCTGCTGACCTTTAACCACTAGCCTAACAGTACAGGACACTTATACCCCCTTCCTGCCCAGGCCAATTTCCAGCTCTCAGCGCTGTCACACTTTGAATGACAATTGCGCGGTCATGCAACAACACTGTACTCATAAATGACATTTTTATCAATTTTTTTGAGACAGATAGAGCCTTCTTTTGGTAGTATTTAATCACCTCGGGGATTTTTATTTTTTGCTAAGTAAACCAAAAATCACTGAAATTTTTTGCGAAAAAAAAAAAAAACGTTTTTTTTTTTAGTTTTTGTTATAAAATTTTGAAAAAAAGTAAATTTTTCTCTACTGATGTGCGCTAAGGAGGCTGCAGTGATGGGCCACTGAAGAGGAGGCACTGGTAGGTGGCACTGATGGGGCATTGACAGGCATCAGTGATGGGCACTGAAAGGCAGCACTCATATGGCAATGGGCCACTGATAGGCGGGGCACTGTTAGGTGGCACTGACTGGCACTGTGTTAGGTGGCACTGATGCGCACATGATTGGCAGCACTGACTGGCACTGTTAGGTGGCACTGAAAAGGCAGCTCAAAATGGGCTCTGATATGTGGCATTGATGTGCACTGGTAGGCACTGATATGTAGCACTGATGGGCACTGGCAGGGTGGCATTGAAGGGCACTGACAGGTGGCACTGCTGGGGCTACACTGATCATCAGGGCACACTGATCATCAGTGCCCCTGATCATCAGTGTACAATGTCCCCTCTGAGGAATACAGATTACCTACCCCGGCTCTCCTCTCCTCTGTCAGCGTGACAGCTCGTGTCGGAAGAGAAAAATGTCGATAACCGGCATTTCCGTTTACATGCGATCAGCTGTGATTGGACACAGCTGATTACATGACTGAGCCGATGTCTTCAGCTTTTTTCTTTCCGTTGATTGAGGTGATCCACTGTGTCCGAGGGACACAGAGCACCACCGATCGCCGCACTGCTCGCCCCCGCTCGCAGCTGCGATCTGCGCAATTTTTTGCGCGGTTACAGTGGGAGGACGTCATGTGAACAGAACGAGAGAACCACCTTGCACCCTTCATTTCCTGATATGGTGGGGCGGGAGGCAGTTAAAAAACATCCACTCACGTGTCACACAATCCAGCACTGTTTTACGAGCCATCCTCGCTCCCTGGCTCCAGCATCTTCAATGTGGGCACCTGGCTGTGACAGCTTGCAGCTTCACAGCCGGGTGCCCTCTGCGCATGCATGAGTAGCACTTTGCCTTGTGACAGGTCCCAGAGACTATGGAACCATTCACATGTCCTAGAAGACTACGGGGGAGGGAGGACAGGACAACTTCCGCTTCTGATCACCTAGGCGTTCACAGCGGAATGGGAGCGGGTATGTGTCAAAATTGGGTACTCGCTTCCCAATAGTGCCAATTCCTCACAGGGAGCGGGAGACTAGTACTTAGAGCAAAACTTCCCCTTTCGGAGGAGCTCCCCTTTAACAACTTCCCTAACGAGCCAATTCCGACATCTCTCTCCTACATGTAAAAATCACATTTCTTTTTCCTATTTTTTCCCAAACACTATACATATATATGATATATATATATATATATATATATACACACACACACATTACACACACACACATACACATATATACACACACACACATAGTATATATATATATAATATATATATATATTATATATATAGTAATATATTACACACATACAAACATACACACATATATATAATTTTTTTTTTTTTTGTCACAACACAGTATTTGAGCGCAGGGCGATTTTTTCAAACACATTACTTTGGAAAAAATACACTTTTATGAAATTTTAATGCACAATGTATAACCAATTATTTGTAAAATATAAAAGATACCTTTCCCCTCCACATCCACATTTTTTACCCTTCCCCCCCCCCCCCCCCCCACACACACACATTCACACCCCAACCATCAATTTTCTCTTTTTTTCTTCCTTCTTAAGTCTCTTTATGCACACTGGAAACGTTTTTACAGCGGCTGTTTTTTGGCTTTAATGTTTTTTTCTACAGCCAGTAAACCCCCCAACATGTTATCCTATGTGTCCATCAGCACACATAGACTGTAATCAACATTTTTTGCCAGGGCATTTTTTGGCTGTAAAAAAAACCCAGGACTAGTGGGTTTCTAGAGGATTTTTTTTTTTAGCTGTAAAAATGCTCTAACGCTGAAAAACACGGGAAACCGTGAAAAACAGCAGCAAACGCTAATGCAGAAACACTAAAAAGAGGCTGAAAAATTCATGTTTTTAACGTGACTTTACACAGCTAACGTTTATATGAGCGGTTATTAAAAACACCCCGTGATGCATGGAGCCTAACACTAACTTTGATGATATAAAAAAAAAAAGAAGCAAACGCTGAAAAACACTTAAAAGCATTGAAAAAAGCTAAAAAGCGCAAAAAAAACTCATGTTTTTATTGCAGCAATTCAACAGCTAACGCTACTGGTGTTTTTATAATGTCCATTGTGCATAAGGCCCTTAATATATTGCCTGTTTTTGGTTCTGGCATATGGAGGGGTTGCTTCATCAGGTATACGCAGTTAACATCCCATAAGGCTTGGTTTCACACGTATGCTTTTTGTTTTTGTTCCGTTTTTTAATGCTGTTTTGCATTGCACTTTGTGTTTTTATACACTTGTTTTTGCCAAGATATGTGTTTTTTTTCAGCTTTGTTTTTGTGGAAAGGGGAACATTTTTTGTTGGCTGGGCAGAAAACAAAAATGCCAAAAATTGGCAAAATGCACTACATGTGCTTCATGAGTTTCTCCATTGAACTCTGTTGTAAAAATGCTGCTTTTTTGCATTTAAAAAAGTCCCTGACCGACAACAACTGTACACCGTGGAGCACTTTTGTGTCTGCACGTCTTGCTTATATAATCGTACCTGATGTACTTGAACCTGACTTTGCAATTTTGTTATTTTTTTTGCACTTAAAAATAAACAAAATAAAGATGTTTCTTGGAATTACGCCATACTACAATACTTAAAAATCTCTATAGGCAACACTTTAAAAATATTCACAGGTTACAATTTTAGAGTTACAGAGGAAGGCCAGCTCTAGAAATTTTGTTCTCGCTTTTAATGTTCGCGGCGGCATACCTCACATGTGTGGTGCAACCATTTACATATGTGGGTGCAACCTACATCTGCATTCGCCACTGCGTGTGAGCACAAGGGGACGGAGGCACTTTAATTTTTTTATTATTATCCTATATTTACACTGTCCCTTTAATGTTTTTTTTAATCACTTTTATTCCTATCACAAAGAATGTAAACATCCCCCTGTGATAGAGATAAGGCATGACAGGTCCTCTGTATGGAGACATCTGGGGTCTATGAGACCCCACATCTCTCCTCTACCCTGGTAAGCAGATATAAAAAAAAAATTGAGCTCAGGCTTTCCAGAAAAAAAACATGTCAGTGGTTTATATCTGCCAGAACCGGAAGTGACATCATGACGATGCTTCTAGCTTCCCAGGACCATGGAGATGGTTGGGGACCATCTGGTCCTCGGCCAGATCTATGACAATCCAGTGGCACCGCCGGATCAGATCCCAGGCATCCCGAGAGAGCCCCCGAGAAGTGCCAATGGGTGGCAGGAGGGTGGAACATCCCCTCCCGCCCCCCCTGTAAAAGCAAACACACAGCGGCTAATTAGCCATTAGGATGGCTTTTACATAAAAGGGAATTGCTGGCTGAACAAATACTGGATGACCTGTAGCTGCACACATCATTCCAGTGTAAACAACTGAAAGCCCAGCACATCATATGACGTCCTACAAGCGCGCCAAGTGGTTAAAGTGGAGCTTTGGCTTATGCAAAAAAAATGTGAACAAGCAGCATTTTTAATGCAGAAGAAACATACCCCCTTCTGCTGTAATAAAGTTCTAGTACCTGCCTGTCCGCAATCCACACTAAGCCGCACACACACAGCTCAGTGTAAAATTTTGGCAATACGGGATGACTGAAATCCATCCACGCATGCACAGGAGTAACGGCATCTCAGCTCGGCAAATGGAAACGGCTGGGGATCAATACCCAGAGGCTGCCGGGATGAAGATGACAGCAGCCAGTAGGGAGCCCCAGGGGGAGGGGGGGGGGAGGTGTCATAGTGCTGGAGAACAGGTGAGTATAGTCTTGCTTAAGGCTAGGTTGACAGCCCTGCAATCCTGCGGGCCGCGTTTTGCGCGGGCTCGAGAGCCCATTCATTTAAATGGATTCCCATAACCCGGGACACACAGCAAAGAAGTCCCTGCACTTCTTTGGAAAATGCAGCCTGCACAGGAAAACTCGGGTGGTGCGGCTGCACGTATTTTTTTGCTGATCCGCAGCGGTAAAACCCGCACAGATGGGAACCTAGCCTTAGGCTAGGTTCACATCTCCGCATTCCTGCGGGCCTCATTTTGTGCGGGCACAAGAGCCCATTAATTTGAATGGACTCCCGTGCCCTGGGACAATCAGGGAAGAAGTCGCTGCACTTCTTTGGAAAACGCAGCCCGCACGGGAACCTCGGTTCCCAGTACGGTTGCAATTTCCAGTGCGGGCGGCGTGCCATTAGCATGAATGGCACCTGCCCACGGGTCCGCATTCCTCTGTGCCGGTGGTGCGGCTGCACGGATTTTTGTGCGGATCCGCAGCGGCACCACCCGCACAGTTGTGAACCAGGGGAACTACCGTATACTCCCCTCCACTTCAGTGCTGCATTTTTCTGAACCTCCCTTACCGACCACAGACATCTTTAGCGGGTTGCCTTCTGTATCTTTCTGTTTTGATTGGCCAGGCCAAGTTTATGCCACTTCTGCACATGTGTGGGAGTTCATTCATCTCAGCACATGTCAAAAGTGTACAAAGAGCTGCACGTATGAATGCAGCCTGATAGCTGTGTGGATGCGTGTCCGTACAAACACTCATATACACGCACAAAAATGCTAAAAAAAAATCCAAAAATTGCTCTACTCGGGTGTGATTGCAGCCTAAAAGCCCACCTCCAGGTTTTGTGGACCTCTCATAACCACTGTATACACACTCATTAGCATCTCATCCCTTTTTGTAATGTAAACTGCAGTGTTTATAAAGCAGAACTAAACTAAGCAGCACTTACCTCTGCTCCAGTGATGCCAAGTCTGCAAGCTTCCTTACCGATGCCAACATCTTTGCCGTCTTTAGCCATCTTGATTGGTTGTCCCAGGATGACATAACTCCTGCACATGTGAAACCAGAGTTAGAAAGAACCTTCAGTCCCTTTTTCTAATTTACATAATATTGTTCCCTTCCCCCTCCGTTCACATAATTATATATTTTTTTCTAAATACCTTTTTTTTTTAATTAATGAAGCCAGTGCTTCCACTTCCACAGCCTCCTGGAATACACACTTCACACATCCCAGGAGGCTTCAGGTCAACCTAGAACTCTGATGCGCAGAGTGTGTCATTAGATGGCTGCAAGGAACTAGAAGAGACAGAATGCCCCCGATGTGGTATAAGAGGAAGATGGTGGCATGGGACCTGTTGGAGGAGACCGGCGTGGGAGAAGAGGACAGCACTGGATCCAATTTGCTTGTAAGAGGGTTTATGCACCATAGAAAGAAGGCATGTGGCGTATTCATTTGATTTTATGTGGAAGGGTGAAGTTCTTTCATAACTGATCTTGGTGCCGAGGTATGCACAGCTCAGTGTACAATCTAACCAAGTACACTAGCAGTCAGGCAACAACCTTTATTTTCAGAAGAGACTCTGCTTTATGTGGAGAGGTTGGTCCACTTAAAGTGAGTAAGGCTGGCCATACATTATATAATTTTCTTGAGAATTTTGCTTTAGATTTACCAAAAGCCATATAATATGAGGTCAAACCTAAACAACACTTT